TTGTGATGATCCACCCCAAAAGATGATCCCGTACCTGAGGTGGGATTCAAACAAAGCATGGTAGCATGTTCGTATAGTTTCGGAGGTACTGACGGATCGAACCCTCCTTAAGGCAAATTTTGCAGAGCTTAGTTTCAGGCAGAGTGCGTCAACGTGTTGATTCCAAGTAAGTTTTTGGTCTAAAACGACTCCCAAATGCTTGGTAAAAGTGCACGTTTGGATGTTAGGAGGGCCAGAGACTTGGTTTTGTAGTCTTCCTATGATGAGCTGAGTAGTTTTATCTTCGTTGAAGACCAAATCATTGTTATCACAGTAGTCCTGAGCCAGGTTTAGGGTGATGAAACTATCCACTTCTAATTCTTCTGTTGTTTTCTTGCAGTTTTCTTGCTAATACTTGTAATACTAATAGTGTATTCCTACTAATACTATACTATATAACTAGCCAACCCGTTCTAAGTATTCGCACGGTATCCTTCTTAAATCCCACTTTTGGAAGTACACAACTACTAAACAACTTCACAAGTACTATAATTTAGTAAGTGCATAGTTAACTTAAGTATGGTTCTTACTTCAGGAATAGATGTGGTTTTACATTTTAGATAATCAACCTTTTCAAACTATACTGTCAGTAAAGAATTCGAATAATAAATAAAGAAAAGATAGGAGGTGATGTTTTAAGAAGGAATTGTTATATATACAAAGAATGGTTGGTAGGTATGGCTAAATGAAGGCTATTTCAAACATTTTAAAAGCTAAAGAATAATTACTTACTTTTGAATTGTTCTTGTCTACGGATTTATTTATCGTAGAAAGCACAGAATAAGTATGTTGGTCGTCATGGATGAAGTAAAAAAAAAATCACTCTGATTTGAAAAGTAAATTTTTGTTTGTTTTGTTTAATTTAATTAAACTCACATGTTTCAGCTGATCGAATAACGTAAATAAACATTTCAAGTCTAAATAACTTGCAGAATGATATAATAGACAGTTTTTACGAACAACTACTGAAAAATGGGTGATGTGTATATTTTCCCAGTGTAGTGGGTAAAAAATTTTTTGAATTGATACCTCAACTTTTATGACAATTGGTGAAGAATTAAAGAAGTTATGACATACTTTAGAAAAAAATTACTTTAGAAATTATAATTTCAATAGATTTTAGTCATGATCAATCCGATTAATAATTTCTATTTATTCTAATAACCAATGTTATTTTATGTAGTTCCGTTTATTAGTCACACCTTTGTCAAACCTAGACGTAAAATACAATTTACTGCTAATTTTAGCAATTTCGTCAGTTAAATATAATACAATTTTTCATCGAGGATTGAGGGCAAATTTAACTCTACAAACTGATTAAAATCAGACCTAAGATGATCAGCTGATAAGAATCAGCTGATAGTTTGCTCTGTGGGATGCTTCCTTGGAATCCAAGGTAGCGCCTTCAATGTCTTCAATATGCAACACCCGCAGAGCCCAGAAGCACCCACATTGCATTGGGTAGGCTCCTTGCGTGTAGATACCATACGATCGATTACTAGTTATTATATTAGTTATATGTTACTAATTATATAACTGCTAGCTATATAATTGTAGCATATCGATGGTAAATACTACTGTTGAAAGAGAAAGTTTAGGCACTTGAGTTTGAAGCTCTACAGAAAATTAACCAAACTATTTAAAAAAACACGAAATATATCTAAATCTACTTAGTTTTATTCTACGTATTCCTGTAAAACAACATTCTTTAGCTCATTAATAAAAAAAATGTTTGGCAGTCGAAAGGTAAAAAGTCTGTTTTTAGTGTTTATAAACCCATTATGACTTTGAAAAGCATTAGTGTAGGAAAGGCATCCCATTGACCAAACTCAACCCTAGATTTTTTGTGGTGGTATTCCTCTTAAAGGTGCGATTGGCGTTACATATGGGCCTAATCATCGGCCCATGGCGTCAAATTAGGCCTAATCATCGGCTGAGTCTTACGAGCAAAAGACAGTACCTGTTTAAAATCTCCAAACAATATTGGTTTTCCTTCCATTGGAACTTGTCATAGTACCATAGATTAAATATACTCCCGAAATTTGAAAAATTTCACAGTAAAATCATTTATTTCCACATTCTATAACGTAACTAAAAAGTCTTAACTATTATAGGTAACGTTATCCAATAGATTGCAGAATTGTCTGGCAAATAATAAGTAATCCAAATGTTAAAATTGCGTACTGGCTTGATGATAAAATCACGATCAGCTGTATTAAACTAGTAAACAAAAATCAGCAGTAAATGGCTTCTAATGCTATTCTTATGGAGACCATTTTACGTTATTTATCTCGTTTTCTGGTAACTTTATGGGAATTCTGCTATTTTTCCCGAGTCCCTGGGGTCAAGACCTTTAATTTAAGACCCCTCCCACTTTTCTGCGACTTACCAGTCGTCCCCAATTTTTTGGTAAAAATGTTGTCTTACAGAATTATATATAAGGATGGCTGACAATCCCCAAAATACATTTGTTTGTGTGGGATATGTGCAATATCCTACAGAGATCCTAGGGAAATTCTCAAATCCTGGGATCTCTGTGGGATATGTGTGAACTGGTCAGGATATCCTGCTGCTAATATTCTGTGTTGTTGGGATGGTCCCGGATCTTCCACGGATCTTCTCAGCATACGAACGAATATCCTAAGTACCTAATTACCTACGTAATAAACGTTATCGTTTGAAAAAAAAATACATTAAAAAACATAACCTTTAAAGCAATATTCTGTAGCATATCTCAAGAAATACTTGAACTCTTAGTGAATTTTACAAATTATGAAAAAATGATAATGGATATTGTGGATATTCTAGGGATATACCAAAGATATTCCCGTCCATTGATCAAAAGCCCTCAAAAAATGTATATTCATATGTAATGGACATATCCCAGAAACATCTAAAATAGAAACAAAATGTCGCTGATACTAGCGATCAGTGTCACCGGACATGAACTAGACAGGAAAAACTAACTTCAAAATAATTTACAATGGGGTGAGAAGTCTACTTGTCTTGGTTAGTCTATGCTATTGCTATAGGCTTTGTCTAACATAACATGTTGAACTAAAAATAATATTTCAGTCTTTTCCTGAAACAATAAAACATATAAAATAATCCACTGCAAACCAAACAACAGCACTTCTGTCAAAACTTCACACAACAAACCATGGAAAATATAATTGTCAAACAAACATACCTTTCAGTAGACGTACATGACTTATTAAGTATTTAAGTTTTGTGCAGCCTTCATGGCATAAAAAAATCATCAAATTTGTGATATGGGTTCAACTCAAGCCAATTTTTCACAATGTATACAAATTTTGATCTCCTCTGGGAACGGACAATACCAGGGAGAGCATTGAAAAACCTAATACCTGTAACAGGAAAACAGTTTTGTGATTTACTTATACGTACATTTGAGCGATTTCTGGTCATGTAAGAATGAACGTCCTTATTATATACAAGATCAGCCTCCATATATTTAATTGCTATCAAACATTGATATATGTACACATTGACTACAGCCTGCTACAGCCATGATCCGATGTTCGCTAAATACAGGTTTGTGGTGCTTTATAAAATGAGTCTGACACATGACTCGAATTGCTCTTTTCTAAAGTAACAACACTTTCTTATAGCATGTGGGGAGTGACCCCAGAGCCGCGTACCATAGACAGCATGTGCCTGAAAGAATGAGAAAAAATCCAGCCTAAAGAAATGAAATGACAATTAATGAGATAAGTTTCTTAACGGTAAAATTACTCGATTGAGCTTAGCACAGAGGGCGTCAATGTGGTCACTCCACACAAGCTCAGAATCCAGGGTGAAACCCAGAAGCTTTACAGGATCACTGCTGGCTACATTTTTGTTAAATACTAAACATGATTTCCTGAGTCTTATCTTTGTTTAAGGCTAATCTATTTCCGGCAAACCATTCAGATGCTGCATTAACCAATGTGTTTACACAATTTCTAGCTGTGATAGGATCAGTGTTCTTATAGAACAGAGTTGTATCGTCCGCATACAGCAACACATAATTAGAAACATTGTGATAAAGGTCATTCATTGTACTGTAACTATAAATAAGAAAGGCCCAAGCACCGAGCCCTGTGGGACCCCATGCTGAACTGCCAGATCTTTTGAGTTCACACCTGCCCATGACACTACTTGAGTCTTATTGATATACTTTATAGGACTCGATCATTCCAAGCGCACGGGGACCAACCCCATACTTAGGAAGCTTCTTGAGCAATAAATAAGTCATGTGAAACATAATCGAAAGCCCGTGACAAAACACACAGGACAACAGAAGTTGAACATTTTTCCTCAAATGCCTTCAGGATGACCTGCAGAAGGGAGCCCACTGCCGAGACAGTAGATTTGCCCCTCCGAAAACCATGCTGGGCGGGGACCAGGAGCCCGTGCGCTTCAAAATGATCAGCACAGAGTTGAGTTCGCACTCGTGTTTCGCACCATATAACGCGTGTCCTTGTGCCTGTCCCTTAGGGCCATGTCATACGAGTGCTATTGCCGTCGCGCAGATGCCGTCGAGATAGCAGAAAAAGTACATGTCTTGTACAAAGTACAAGTATTGACAGCAAATGCGTCGCGTTGATGCCGTCCCGCCAACGGGTGCCTGTCATACGTAGCGTCTTCCGGGCGCAATTGACGTCGCGGCAATTATGTTATTACCAAGATGGACATCATCCAGTTAGGTTGTATCAGCTTTTTGCACATTTTAGATACACATAATTTAGCTGTCATTTGATTCCAGTTTTATATTCTTTCTGTCATACCATAGACAAACATAATGTCGTAGTCGTACTGAACTGATTTCTGTGTGTTCAAAATCAACAAACCAAATCATCTGATGGAGTTGGGCTGGGATCCTGGGATTGGGATTGGACTGATTGGAGATTGGATGGAGAAGAGAAGAAGAAGAGGACATAGATGGAATTTCAAACTTCAACAAACAAGAACACTTTAAAATTTTAAAACACTAACATCAAGTTTTTATTTTTCCAAATTAAAAATTATGGATCTTATTTAATTTGGATTCCGTGGTATTAGCTGAATAATATAAAATTACAGTATTAACATAATTTAGAGTTGCTAACCTATAATATTTAGATTTAGAGGTTAAGTCTGTTGATCAAGACGACCCAGTCACAGTAATATAATATGTCTATTTAAGGAAATGTTTTTAACGATTACTATTTTCCTTTTCTATACTATTTTAAAAATATAATATTGTGTAAACTTTAATAATAACAAACATACCCTAATATGAACGGTAGCAAACAGTTTTGGCAGTTTAACCTGTACAAGGCTATGAGGGATCCAAGCCTTATTGCCTATGAAGACGAGTTGGTCGTTATTATCAAAGATAAGTATCCCAAGTCGGAAGAGCATTTCCTTGTTCTTCCTCAAGCTACGATTCCAGAAATAAGATCTCTAAATGCTAGTCACCTACCTTTGTTGAGACATATGGATCGTGTTTCAAGATCTTTCTGTGCCAACTTTAATCATGTGTTTTGGTAAGTAACATATTTTGACCTTTACAGACATGACAGGCCTTGCTCATTTTGGTTATTATTAATTTACAATACCCAACTCACCTTAAACGTTATAGGCTAGCCTATAAGACGTTTTTAAACTTTTCCTAGACATCAATACTACAACCTTCTCAAATGCCTTTTTTGCGCCGAGACTTCCTGTAGACACCACGCCCAAAAAACTCGCTTAACTATCGTGACAGGACAGTATCCTATACTAGATACCTCACCAAATTTACTAGACACCATGCCCAGATTACTATTCACCATGCCCAGATTGCAGTACTATAGACCTCGCCAACATTACTAACTTAGACACCTCTAACTTCAGCTCACCTAGGCCTAGATTACTAGACACCATTACCTAGATTACTAGACACTATTACCTTGAGATTACTAGAAACCATGCCGAGATTACCGTTAGGTTAGGCTACACAAGGTGTCTAGTAAAGGAACTGCCCTGTCACGATGTTTAATCAAGTTTTTTATGTGTCTAGTAATCTAGGCATGATGTTTAGTAAACTAGGTAATTATGTCTAGCAATCTTGGTGAGGTTTCTAGTAAAAGAAACTGCCCTGTCACGATGTTTAAGCAAGTTTTTCAGGCGTGATGTTGGTGTCTAGTAATCTAGGTGTGGTGTCTACAGGAAGCCTCGGTGACAAAAAAGTAATTTAAGAAAATTTTAGTGTTGGTGTCTAGGAACAGTTTAACAACGTCTTATAGGGTGTTTTCAAGGTGAGTTGGGCGTCGAAAATATTTACCTCCTGTTGTTCCATCTGTACCAGGCGAGTTTATGCAATCTCTAAAGATTGCTTGAGAGTTGGTAAAGTAGCTTGACGAGTACGTCTTAAAGTACTTTTCTTTCGGTTGGAGGCGGTTACTTAAGCCTCTCTAGCTCTTCCCATTTTCAAACTGAGTGAAATTCTAATCGTAGGCCAGCAGTATTTGAAAATGTAACCTACTTCGTGGCACAGTTAACTAACCGTTGCTCTTTACTACTCGACTTTAATACTCATTTCGTACTCAATTTGTGTGATGTTTTATGCCACTTGATCTGAATGAAAAACAACCTGCTAGCCTATGAACATAAGTTACCAGGTGATTCTTTGTCGAATAAGTAGCTAGTAAGTAGCCTACTTAGCTTATCTTGACTTACTGGACTTAGCACAGTGAAGAAGACATATAGGTGGCTTAGGGCTGAAGATCCAGTTTTATTTCTATAATCATAGTAAAAAATTTTAAATGTGATATTTTCTGTGGACTACATACTCTTACATAAATGGTCAGCCCTAGCCCTAGCTGTGGATAGGCCCTAGTTCAATTTATGGACAGAAAAAAGAAAACTTATGTAGCCTAGAATAACTTGTCAAAAAATACACACCTCAATAGTTCAACACTTTGTGGACTCAAGGGGTGTCGAACTATAGGGAGTAAATGGAGTTTAATATATTGAAAAGTAAAAACACAAGTTTTAGGCCTTTATAGAAATCACCCAAATATATTAAATACTAAAAAGCTTAACAATTTCACTGTTCATTAGTCTGAGGTCAACGATAAATGACAAATTAATGTTCAAGTCAGCTTATATCACAATAGTAACCATTAAATATTACTTGACAAAATAGCTCAGCCCGTGTCAAACTACAAGGAGTGTCGAACTATCGGTTTACTAGCTAAGATTCATTCCCCCCTCAAAACATTTGAAAGAAAATTATGCTCTAAACTTGTAATCAGCCAGTTGCAAAAGAGTTGAAAAAACCAAATGTTTTACATCCAGGCCTACAACTTGTGTTCAGGGCCGTCCGAAGAGGGAGCAAGCTGCCCCGAGCGCTGTGGCTGAGGGGGCGCCGCGCAGCGGCTATTTTTATTAACATAGTATTAAAATATGCGAATGCGACTATTACTGCTGAGGGGGGAGGGGCGCGACAACCACGTTTGCTCCAGGCGCCGCCAACTCTAGGGACGGCCCTGCTTGTGTTTAAATACCTGTACTATTGATAAATGATAAGTTATATGGTTGCCATGGCCTATGGGTCATCTGTTTATGCTATTGTAACGTTTGTTTAAACTGTACCCTAGTCTGTTTCAAAGTACAGGTACCTAGGGCTACATCTATTGATTTCTTGCAATAGTCCAGTAACTCCAATTTTTTCAATTTTTTATTAGTGTTAAATAAGTAGGTAAATTAAAATTAAATCTGTAAGTTAATTTCAGGGCGGGATTCCACGCAAAACCAACAATGATGCAGCTTCATCTGCATCTCATCAGTGATGACTTTAGAGGGTCCGGATTGAAAACTGCAAAACATTGGAACTCTTATACTACATCATTCTTCGTTAGCATATCACGTAAGTTTATGTAAATAAAGTGATTGAACTCCTATTTAGAACTGATGTTTAATATTCGTTGAAGAAACAAGCAATGATTCCTCACCGTTAGTAGTCTTAAAGGATTTAGAACACTTTTTAGTGGTTGATTTCAAAATTATCAAGCTGTATTATATTCTTGTATTTAGGTTTTGAGAGTGAGCTGTTTATCTCTTTAGTCTGAACTAATTGAACTCTAATTATTGGTTTCCCTTTAAGGTCACACCTTTTTTTCTTGGCGTTTACGCCAGTGGTAGTAATTACCACTGTTGAAGTAATTAGAAGAGGAAGTAGGCTACATAAACACTTTTTGGGAAAGCGGTCCAACATGATACAAGTGATGTGCTTATTCTGTTTATTAGTAAACAGTGTTAATAGTTGCATCAGATCCCTTATATAGCTGAATTTTCCTCTGTGCCTAGGAAAACCAAGCTTTAGGTAATATAATGGTAGGCCTACTATTTTCCTAGAAGCGGAGTGTACCGCCACTGGATGAGCAGAAAATCAATTTTTTGCACTTCATTTTCGGAGCTCCGCTTGTGTCTTCTAGGTAAACCCAACTTAAACTCTTTGAAAACATTAATAGGCTTGTAAATTGCTAATTTTTGTTAAAAGTTGTAAGTAAACTTAAAACACAACTTTTATTTACCAAGTTGTGTCCCGTGGTTAGTCAATGTTTCACATTGCTAAAGTTAGAATTCAGAACCCAGGTGGAACGTACTTTTAGAGAAATAATACTGGGTACCCTCCTTAATGCTATGTAACCAAGAGCCTGACAGAGCCCAAACAGTTTATTTACTTTGCGGCCCTCACTTGTACCAAATGTCCAAGTCTGGTAGAAGGGTTTCCTCGCTTGCATCAGAAGTCTTGCATCAGACTCCCAGGTATAGACCTCACTTGGCACAGTCGGCGGGATATTTTACATCCTTTTGTAGTTTATCAGGCTTGTAATCCTAGCCCAATCGGCTAAGAAGTGTTAAAATCCATGTTTTTAGCCCCTGAGCTGTGATATAATTAAAAATAGGTCTATAGCACTTATGTCTACAGCTCAAACTGTTGTATCTTGCGTTACGGCCGTTTCGCCATTATAATGCCATCATCAGGCAGAAGATTCAGCTAAAGCAGCGTCATCACATGAGAAACACATAACACGAACACGGACTAACATTTTACATTTAACAAAAATACAAACCTTAATTTAACAGGCCTGTCACACATACGGTTGACACGACCTGAACTGGATGCTGACACCCAGTCTGAGTCGGTCCTGGAGTTGGCATCCAGTTAAGATTCTAGACAGAATTCTAGACACTAGTGCATTCTGTGACTGGCCTGTGAGACAACTACTCTGTATTCATCTTGTGTATTGCCTTCCGGATTACTTCATGAATTGTATACAAGAGGTTAAGTTACCTTGATTCTGTCCAAGTAATCCTTAAGTCGTCATTAGTGCAACCGGTTTCGATGTCTATGGCATCTTTGTCAAGCTGAACGTAAAAATCGCTCCTAGGAGGTCGTCATGAGTCTTGAAACACATGTAACACGTACACAAACAAAAAACGATAAAATGCATGGCCACACAACTAATTTACAACACGGCGGCGGGTACAGGGTGTAGGTCTAGACTGACCTATAGGAGCTCTCCCCGCCAGGTTTGGTGGGGAGAGGAAGACACGGCGTCAGTTGGTCGCACTAATAACGACTTAAGGATTACTTGGACAGAATCAAGGTAACTTAACCTCTTGTATACTACTCTGTATGTTCTTTTTTCCTACAAAATTTTCAACAGCTGGTCGATATAAATGTGATGTCTACTTCAGCATCCAATAGTCAATGCTCTACTATCAGAAATTACAGTCTTGTGCAGGTGCCTAATGTCATACCGTACATATTCAGAGTATAAACATGGGTGACAAAAAAGTTGTCTTGATTGATTGATTGATTGATTGATTCTGTAGGGGCGGACCTTGTCCTGTTGCACGTCAGCCACTGATGGGCTTTTTGCGCTCCCCACATGGTACTTTAGAGTCCGTCAAACCTGAGTTGCTTAATGAACTCCAGCATCCTGTCAATGAGCTCTTCCTGAGGAAGGTGTCTGCCCCTTGTCATTGCACCAAGAGTACTGTCCCTTACCTCATTCAGAGCTGTGCAGTCGTAGAGTAGGTGATCAGCAGTCTCCTCTGATTGCCCACATTTCCTACACGCAGTGTCACCATTGTGGATCCTCAAGCGATGCAGGTGTAATTTCAGAAAGCCATGTCCAGTGACCATTCCTGTGATCTGTCTGAGTCGCCTCCTGTCCAAGCGTAGGGCATTGGAGGCGACCGTCTGGGAAGGGGAGAAGAGGGTGAGCTTACTTACCCTATGGTGCTGAAGCCTAACCCATCTTTTTCTGTGTTCCTCCTGAGCCCATGCCATGACTGAGTGACATGCATACCCACGAGAGATTCCACAGAAAGGCTGTGGTCCCACGAAGTCTGAGGCTGACGCGACATTTGCTAGCCTGTCAGCCACCTCATTCCCTTCTATCCCTGAGTGCCCAGGAACCCAACAGAGCGTTACCTTGTTGCGCCTGCCCAGGTCACATACCGCAGAAAGGCAGTCCCAGACCACCTTAGAATTGAATTCATAGGAGTCAAGCGCTTTGAGCGCAGCCTGGCTGTCTGTAAAAATGGAAATGTTGATGTCCCTGAAGCCTAGCATCAGGTTTTCCCTAGCACATACCATAATCGCAGTCATTTCGGCCTGGAACACAGTTGGGTGAGTGCCCATAGGAAGACAAATGTCCACCCCGTTCTGCACTCCATGAATTCCAGCCCCAGTCCCACTTCTTACCTTAGAACCATCAGTATACCATTCAAGGTCGCCTTGTGGAAGAGGATTCCCACCGGACATCCACTCCTCCCTGGACGGAAGGAGGACAGTGAATGGTCTGGCGAAGAAGAATCGAGTCGACATGTGATCCGAGGGCATGTCCATTACCTCCCCTCTTACACGCTGAGTGATCCGAGAGTGACCTCGGGATCCTCCAACATCCAACCAAAGGTTTTCACACTGGAGTCTGTAGGCAGTCCTCCTCGCAGTGACCTTGACATACAGGTCAATCGGAGTGAGGTTGAGAAGGCAGTCCAGTGAGGCTCCCGGACAGCTGCTCATTGCGCCCGTGATGATGAGACAGGCGAGTCTTTGGACGGCAGCCAGATCTCTCACCGCCGACACTGAGTCCATCTTGGGCCACCACACGAGTGAGCCGTATGTCATGGCGGGCCTTACCACAGAGACAAATAGCCAGTGCATGAGCACCGGCTTGAGCCCCCAGGTTCCTCCCACCATCCGTCTGCAGGCCATGAGTGACCACTTACCTCGATCAATGACCTTTTGGAGTTGTGGCCCCCATTGCAGCTTTCGGTCCAATACCACCCCCAGGTACTTAACCTGATTCTGCATTTCAAGCACTGTGTCTTGTAGTCTCAGAGGTCCTATGCCATTTAGATCGCGCCTCCTCGTGAAGGGGATAACCGCCACTTTGGAGGGGTTGATAGAAAGGCCTACCTCTGTGCACCATTGTCCAACTGACCTCAAGGCTGTGTTCATGAGGTCGGAGACCGTGTTATTGAATTTACCCACAACTAGTATCACAATGTCGTCCGCGTATCCTTGAACGAATACACCACTATCACTGATAGATCTAATTAAGTCGTCCACAACAAGGTTCCAGAGAAGAGGAGAGAGTACACCCCCCTGTGGACACCCTCGTGTGGTCCTGGCCTCCAGAACCTCATTGTGAAGAGAGAGTCTTACCTTCCTCCTCTTAAGTAGAGACTCTACCCACCTGCACACCACCTCATGGAATCCACGAGCTCTGGCAGCATTGATAACAGCCTGGGTTTCAGTGTTGTCAAAGGCGCCCTGGATGTCAAGGAACGCCCCAAGGGCAATCTCCTTGAACTCAAACGCCTTGTCGATTCTGCTTACCAGGTGATGTAGGGCAGAGTCACAGGATCTTCCTGGGGTATAGGCGTGCTGTTTTCTATGTAGGGGATTGACTCTGAGGACTGTGTCCCCCACATACCTCAGCACCAGTTTCTCTAGGGTCTTCAACAGGAATGAATTGTCTTGATACACTCAGTGTACAGTCATACTTTACGAAAATAGGCTAGCATGTGATTTCATGGTACTTGATGGATCAAAAAGAAGGTTCGATTACACAGAAGGTATGATAACCAATGATTGGGTAATCCCTTTATCAATTTGAAGCACTAATGCTTAAGATATTTTCCCATTTGTTTTATGTAAAGTGTCATCACTGTATGTAAGATTTATGATATTTGAACCAAATATGGCTTTGTAGCCGAGTGGTTTTATTGCTCACGTGTCAATCAAAAAGGTCTTGTCCCGAGAAGAATTTACGTGTCAATCAATTCTGGGTAAAATATAGCTTGGTTTTAGTCAGCAACATATCCAAACAGATCATCTCATTCTATTCTACACTCTTCTTGCTATTCATGTTAAAATGAGATTTTGCTGAATGCTGACTCATAATGATTCATGATAGAGAATTAACAGTTTAATCGTGTGGGGTTTGTGCACTACAGCTATGCTGCATGACATTATTATTATTATGTTACTTCAATTCCTCCCTGTTTTTTGTTTAGTAATGTTTAAAGTTTTTGTATTTGATTTCACAGGTGTTATCCACGATTTGGAAACAAATGGTAGGGTGTTGCTACCCTCTAATGCTTCACTAAATGAGTTACTGCGTGCCCCTCTACAGTGCCACAAATGCCTCTTCAAACCAAGCAACATGGCAACTTTGAAGGTCCATCTCATCTCTCATACTCCCACAGATTGAGCTGAACACACGAGTAATGCAAGACTGACAATAAATTCATGCTTGATCGTGAGTGGTAAGACTTTTTGTTTATGAGTAAGATAGTTGCGGTTAAACAAGACGCTATCTTGTTACCTGATGAAAAACGGAATGTGATTTAGTACAAGTTAAGTTTTTACAGTTTACAATTTTTATTTATATTAGTTTGAAAGTTTTTTTAAGTTATATGTAGAATCTTAGAGACCTGTGTTTTATGAAGCAAACATGGTATTATATATGAGGTAAATAGTCTACTCAAAAGTAGAGGTGTGCGAATAGTGATTTTTGGGTTCAAATCAAGTCAAATAGAATACTTCATAATATTTTCGAATATTGGATATTACCGAGTGAATATTTATGTTATTATTATAGACTCCAGTTTTACAATCACAGCTTTAGAACTCGACTTAATAATCCTGATTTTAACCAGATGTAACATTTTAAAATAATCTATTTTTCCCTAACTATTTGTTCTTGGTACAAAATCGGTATGGTACAGGCCTTCCAATATTTTTCTCATTTTATTTCATTGAATATGCAGCGCAACGTAGCTTGCTAATTGCTATTCACACAACACTTTCAGACTACCGTACTTATTTTGTCATTCTACTGTACGTTAAGTTCACATTACGAAAATCAGATCCTAATATTAACTAAGCTAAAAAAGTCTTTTTCAAAGTTATACAGATATATATCTGTCTGCTCAATATAGGTTATTGTTAATTAATCAAATAAGAATGGTTGACAGTCTTATGTTTCCATGCCGGTAGGTTGTAGTAAGCCTATCATATTGGAGCATTGTAAACTAGGCAGCTGAGCGGAGTAATTTTAATAATGACACAAAAAATTTATCGTCCTTGAAAATGGTCGAGTAGTCTTTAGAGTTAAGAAAGATGTTATAATATGCTGAAGTTGCTGGTGTTATTTTATAATACGAAGCATGAGGATGTAATTAAACAACACAATACCATGATTTATTTGGTTGTAATTAGAGATTATTTCTAGGTTTGTTTGCTATTTGAATGTTCGAATATACTCATTAAGTTTGAGTCGGGCTCGAATACTAAAGTATTCGTTCAACTAAATATTTGAACTTTCAAATATTCGCACACCCCTACTCGAAAGGAACCAGCCATTTCTTTCTATTGTCCGCCATTTACTGGCAGTGTTAGCAGTATTGACAATAAGACAGGAACAGTAACTGCTGTTAAAGTATTGGCTCATTTTATGTAGTATAGGCTTTTTATGGTTGTGAATGACCTACATCTTGAGGTACATATTGTTTGTGCCTTATATGAACTATGTCTAGGTTATATGTACAAATTCTAGTAGTACGTCAGGAAACGCATATAAAACCACTCTTTATTGTTGTCGTATTTGAAGGTAGCACAGTAAAACTTAATTGAATGTCCCTTTTTGAACCTCTCATCTCTTGTTATCGACAATGTTATTGTCAGATGGACCAGGCCTATTCTATTAGCTAACAAATTAAGTCCAGACAGCTTCTTTTTTAATTTTTGTTAATTCCTTTTAAATAGGTACCTATGTAAAAACCATGACTCACTGGGATGATAAAAACAGGGTTTTGTTTGATGTTATTTCAATCTCTCAAAGGTCTTTGACTCCATTCTATCCTTCACTACCAATAACAACAACAACTAATTAAATTACAAAAGCAATATGTTTTAATTTGTTCTGTCATGACAATAATGGGTAAAAAATGCATAAAAGTCACATTGGTTTTATTCCCAAATTATTTGGTAATAATACCTATTGGAGATCCATAAAAAACCATCCCTATAAAAACTAATAAAATAAAAGATCAATTGGTTACATTTTTTTTCTTTTCACTGTAACTTCTTTTCACTTTTGCTCTTTACACTACTGTATAACTTACAGTGCTCTTTACCGCAACACAATTCTAGACCCTATTGCGAACCATTTCGCAGAACTGTAAACTGTGTTGTATATCAATTTCAGTAGTTTATATGGATCTCCTAACACTCAGCATCTTAGTCATTTAAATGGAAAACTTCCATTTAGATCAATGTTGATTTCTGTGTTTATAGTTCAACCTTCTTCGCTCGCTACATTATTGCAATAGTAGAAGTATTTCATACTTTTGTGTGTTTATTTCTATGAAAGTTATCTTAAATTGTTTAGAATTTCAATCCTCATAGCATCCTACTATTACACTTGCCAATGCAGTTCTATTCATGGGGACAATTGTTTGTTCATCATATATTTAGTAAACAAACTACTACTTATACATTTCTGTAGATCTCCTGAGTTTTGTTGTGGGTTTAAAAATTTATAGAAATGCATTTTATAAAAGTGAATTGAATTTATCTTGTTCGACCAGCTAGTGACAGAACGTTTGTCAAAAATAAAAAGAGTTTAAACCGTCAAAAGTTAAATTATGAATGGATTAATTAAAATAGTAGATTACCTCATTATAGCACAATGAAGAAACACATACAGCAATAACTTTTGTATATATTGAACAGTAATCAAAGTTTAATCAAAGGTATCCATACAAGAGATCTAGTCTTCAGTAAATGTTGTAGACAATTGTAATACACTTTCTGTTTAGTCCTAACAGCATTGCATAATGAATATCCATTAACATATAGTACAACTAAAACAAACTCCAATCATCCTATCAACTGTCCTGAAAATCTCAAAGAGACAAAATAAATAAAATCAGCCAAAAAACTATGTCCATTGCAGTTTGCACTAATGTGTCCATCATTCGGTGAGCCTACTATAGTGTCATATCAATGAGTCATCTACATGAGCAACTGTCTTATATTTTTTATTTTATTCTTGAAATTCCATTCATCTAATTTTTTGAGTATTTTTATGAGGTCGGATAACAATTGTCTCAATAATTGGAGATCTAGTATGATATTTTGTGAAATTTATACATCATACTGCCTAGCTTATTTACATCAGATGGCCTAGAGTACAGTATATATATTTTAATTTTTTTTCACAGGGTATTGTTGTTTAAAGTGTTAAGATTAGTGATTTAGTATTAAAAGTCATGTGTGCCTTTTTTAACACGTTCACTTCCAGTCGCCACATATATGCGATGCTGCGGTCATTGCCATAGACTGAGGTACCATTTTAATTTTTAATATTTCACTTTGACCGGGTGTCACTTGGTTTATAGTACACGCAGACCACGGGCCAGTGGAACAGCAAAGTAAAAAACAGTTTTGCTAACTATCATATGATATAACTAATCATCATATCCACAGACCAAGTGTCGCACATATGCGACAGACATCCCTGTAGACCACTGTATAGAATTCAGGGCCCTCAAATAGACCTTTACAAAGATATAAGATTTTGAACAACATTGGAACACCGATGCAAATATGCGACATCAATCTAGTGTGACCAGTCGTTGCATATGTGTGGTCCATATGAATGAAAATTTTAGTACTGTTGCGGTAGTGGACGTGTTAATGTACCTGAGGGTACAAAAACTCGTTGCTCATTCCTACTTAAGATTGTGGTTAAAGTCAAATTTAAATAATCTCATAGCAAATTCATTTAGTAATTATTGAGGGTTTTACTATGTTCTTGAGTAGACTATAGTTTAGAATATAACAAGATATTTTACAACATTTCCATGAATGATAATTGTAAGAAACTGATAGCATTGACTATTGTATGTCAAAGCTTGTACTTCACACTTTTTGTAACAAGTATTTTGTACTAGGCACATTCGGTCATTATAAGTTAAGTTTATAACTAAATTTAGTCTACAAATTGTTGTAAAAGGTTAGTACTGTTTTCCTTATTATACTTGTTAGGCCTACATAAAATGTTAGTTACAATGTGTAAGTATTATGCTGATTTCAATATTCAATAGTCATTGTATGTATTCTCTAAACAACTTGTTTAAAACATAGCCATGTTGCATTGTTAGCATAGTTTGAACATTTTAAAATTTTTTGTCATAATGCCGAAAACAACTTTTTTAACACATGCATTGCGGGTCTTGAGTAGATTTTTACTCCCTATGAACTATGAAATAAAATTCAGCTGCACTTTTTGCTCTCTTGTAAACTCAAGCCGCGTCTACACCAACCGAACATGTTGCCAAACATTATTTGCGAACATAAATAACGGACAAACATTCCACAATTAGTTCATCGGACATGTTCGACGATCATGCTCAATATCTCACAGACGATCAAATCAATGTTCGCTTTAGATATCTGAACATTTTGAATAGTTGTCTTGTGTAGTGCATATACACAGCGCTGTCGTTATTTGTAGGTAGAATTGGTCATAGGAGGTCATCATCGGTCAAATAGGTAATAAATTTTTCACCCAAAACTTTAAATACTTAATTCCCCATAAAAGTTTTTTTTCTCACTTGTTCCTTGTTCCCATTCAAGACTTGGTTGCACTCTTCTTCTCCCTTCTATATTTCAACACATCAAGAACACTCTCTAATTTCTTCTTTACTTCATCAACAGTGCAACCCACATTGGAAGCAATTGATGAGACATTATCACTCAGTACTTAGGCCTTGGGTACAATAAGAGCGGCGAGCGGCACATAAGTGGTGGAGGTTACGATATAAGCGGCACATTTATAACGCTCATCAAATTTCCCCAGTTTTATGAGTCAGTTTACTCGAAAATGGTTAACTATGCTTACCTGCAAGACGGATTGCAACTATTGGTGCTATCTCACAATTGTTTGCGGCTTAAAGAAAAACTTATTTTTTTGAAAAACCTTAACCCTAACTTGGTCCCATACTTTTCTGGAGACTGAAGTGTTTTAAAACTTCTGTGCTGGTCATTCCACAAACATTCCCTGGACTGCACCTTACGTATCGACCCGTATTGCATGTTTGCTGCTGTTTCCCTGTAATTTTAGGCTGAACTGAAGCATGACTCACTTGAGCGGCACTTTTGCGAAAATCGGTTTTGACTTGAAACCATGAGCAGTGCTGCTTGCCACTCAGACGTATCGTGACCACACTCAACAAATATATACACAACTAAATGAGACCCGATGTCGAACGGCGTCGCTCGCCGCTCGTATCGTACCTGGAGCCTTATTCTTAAACAGTTTTTCACTTGGATAAGGGATGTTTTTCATGACTGGATCAAAGCAATGGTGTTTTCTACTGTCCCCAAGTGTTGTTATTATACTCAATCTCTGCTGAATCACTCATCGGTCAATTTAAAAATACTGAATCTAATTTAATGATCAATCAAAAAAGTTAAAAATAACCACTACACGTGTATAAAAATCCAATAGCAAATGCAAAACTTCACTGAAACAATGAAATCTGCTACAAGCTGTAC